TCACACCGAGAATATAAAATCTTTGTTATTTTGTTGAAAGCTAACACAATACATACATGTCTTTGGAAGAGATGTTTCTTAAATATTTTGGCTTTTCAGTTGAATGCATGTGTAACACTTTCTGAATGCTTCTTTAATCAAATTATGCTATATTAAAAGTTGGTCACATTTTTACTTTTCCATTAGTTGCTGCTCCCTAAATCACTGCAAAAATGGCTTTTAAATTTTAGAGGAAAACAGTTATCTTTGTGAGGTTTTATTTCCCTATCCCTGACAACATGTTTTAAGGTTTAATAGCTCTGCTTAAGTGTTTTTGATTAATTTGGTAAACAAATTTAGGTGACCTCTTCTGAGGAATATATCTTGAAATTACGACCATACTCAGAAAGCATTATCTAATCCATACAGTTGAAAAGTTAAATACTTGTTGAAATACAAAGGTAAGGGAAGAATAAGTTGTGTTGTCATCATATTTTTGACAAAGTGAATGAATTAAATAGTTCTGTGATGATGGTTCAAACTTTCCAAAAGGAAAGCATAAAGAGTATGTGGAATTTAAATAAAAATGATTACCATGTTATATATGATAATCCACACTATACCATTAAAAACTGCTTTTAAATGAATTTACTGATAAAAATTTCTTTTTCTACACACTATTTATTGTATATTTTTCAAAAGAAATTTTTTTTCTAGACTACATAACTCTCTCTGCTTTATGCTTCTAATTAAGATACATGCTGTTGTTTAGAGCTCTGCAGTGTGAAATTAGACCAGGAGTTTTCTAATATCCATAAAATAAATTAAAAAATGTTCCTCCTCTGAAAGACAGATAATTCAGTCACAGAGAGCTTATTTCTATGTTTCTTTGTTTTCTTTCTTTTTTTTTTTTTTTAGCTGCTTGGTAAGCCAATTTTCTACTTAGAATCTACTGTTAAAACTCTCATTTGGTTCAGTATGTGGGCTTTATCCTTTCCATGGTCTGTTATGCAAAAAGGATGGCTTTAAATTCTTTTTTTAAGTTTGCTGTAAAGCAGTGTTTCTCAATGTGGATGCACATGAGAATCACCTAGGGAACCTGTTAAAGAATACTCGTGCTTCCTCTCCCTCTGGATATTCTGATATAACTGGTCTGGGTGGGCCCCTTTGTAAAAGCTCTGCAGGTGATTGTAATGTGTTGCCAAGGCTAGGAACCACTACTCTAGGATCTTGTCACTTTCCAACTAAAAGCTTATTATATTTTCTGATTGAACTTGGATGGGAAATGCTTTTTAAAAATTCTATAGTTTTAACAGATGCAAAGATTAAATTTCTTCTCTACGAGGTTGCTACTCTTTTAGTTTGAATTTTAGAGTTTAAGAGCAGATTGTATCTTTTATTCTGATGATTAGCTCAAGAAGTCTACTGGTGGCCAGTGAAAAAAATTTAAAGACATATGCCTGAAAATTACTTTTATAGACTAGTGGCTTTCGTTCATGATATTCTAAAAAATGTGCTACAATTAATTCATAGTTAAAAATTATGTCTTCACATGTGAAAAAAAGAAACAATTATTTCCCTAGAGATTTCTTCCAAAGACGTTCACCTTTTGCATATAGAAGTTCACATGAGGTTCTGCAAAAGTAATCTACACAAATTTTTCCAACAGTTTAACTTTGATAGAATGACTGAAAGGGCCAAATCCAAGAAAAAGCTACTCTTGCTAAAAAAAGGAATTTTTGTATCTTAATATAGTAGGATTGAAAAGGGGGGCATTAACTATGCAATCAGTGGTGAATAACTAAAAATCATGTGCAAGTATCATATACAACTTTATGAAAATCTATTCAAAAACACTTACATAAAATGGATAATTTTCCAGAAATACAAATTTAGGAAAATGACTTCAAAATTCCTGAAAAAAAAAAGCAGCCCTTAAAACTGGAATCTGTTATTTAAAAAATCTACCTTCCTTTAAGACACCACACCCAAGCAGTTTTATAGGTGAGTTTCACCAAACGCTCAAATATCAGTTAATTCCTTTTGGTACTGTTTCAAAGAGGAGAAAAAGAAAAAGCTAGCCAAATCACTCCAGAGGGCTAGTACAACCTTTATATGGAACTTAGAAAGGATAGTAAAAGCAAGTAAAACTGTTTGCCAATCTCATATTTGAGCAAACTGTAAAGCCTCTTTAGTGTTTCCTCCTGACTATCTCCCTAAGTAGAATCAATCATTCCCCACTGGCTCCTACTATAGCTTATACATACTCTATCCACAGCATCATTTAATGCTTTAGTGCACTTACTTCATATTTGTCTCTCATTGGTTGGACACTAGGATCCCTGCAGGCAGGGTTATTTTTGTATTCAGATCCCTTGGAATGAAATACAGTGCTTACTCCATGGTCATGCTCAATAGTTGTTGAATGATGTGGAAACCGAAGGAAGGGCCTTTCAGGTAGAAATACCAGTAATGTGTACAGGCAGGTCATGGAAAATAAGAGGCAATGAGTAAACCACTTGGCTAGAACATAGGTTTGTATAAGGAAATAACACTGGAAAGGTAGGTCAGGGCCAGTCAGGGTGGTCTTTCAGTGCTGAAGCTAAGTTTAGTTTCGTATCTATTAAAGGCATTTGAGCAAGCAATGGCTCAATCAGATCTGTGGCTTCAGAATCCAGGTGAGCACTTTTTAGAGCTGTCACAGACCTGGAGGTGACCTATCTGGTGGAAATCCATCATTTTAAAAATAGAAAACTAAAGTCAGAGAGAATAGGTGATCTACCCAAGGGCAAACACAAAATTAGCTAAGAGCAGGCAGAAGCTTAGAGGGAGTAAACTTGACTAAGGTTACACAGTTAGCATGTATATGGTCCAACCAACAGTTAAACTAGGTTTTTTCCAACTCCAAAGTCCATGATCTAGATGACACCAGGTGATAAGGTATGTAGACCATATGTATACCCTTTAGAACACTCCCAATTTCATGTAATACACTCATTTCAAATACAGGTAATTTATGTAGAGTATAACTAAATTATTTTTACCTTTATTATAAGGCAGAACATTTAATAGAATTCTAATTAGCTTCATTACAATCATTTTGATGAAGTCTTTTACTCAATTAGCTTCTGAACCCAAGATCAATAAAGCAGTAGGCATGAAAAGCAAGTGACTAGGAACAAAGCACTTCCTTAGCCTCACAAATCCACACCTAAAGCATTACAAGTGGTTTTAGTCACTGTAACAAAATTGGAAAAGTTCTAGAAAAAGGTTAATTAATTAATTAAAAATGACTCTGCAGTCTTAAAAGACAGCCTGAAAGTTTATAACACCAGAAGAGACAGGTAGAGATAGAAAAAAACTTGGACTTGTTCATTATATCTCAGAATTAAAGCCTAATAGATAATAGATTTAGAGAAAATATAGAAACATACCACAGTTTTCCTTGCCTTACAATGGAGTCAAGTCCCAGTAAACCCATCATAAGTTGAAAATATCCTAAGTTGAAAATGCATTTAATACACCTAACCTACCAGACATCACAGCTTAGCCCAGCCTAGCTTAAACATGCTCAGAAATTTAAATTAGCCTATACAATTGGGCAAAATCATCTAACACAAAGCCTATTTTATAATAAAGTGTTGAATATCTCATGTAATTTATTGAATACTGTACTGAAAGCAAAAAAACCAGAATGGTTGTATAGGTACAGAATGGCTGTAAGGGCAACAGTTGTTTATCCTCATGATTGCATGGCTGACTGGAAGCTGTGGCTGACTGCCACTGCCCAGCATCATGGGAGAGTAGACACATCACTAGACTGGGAAAAGATCAAAATTCAAAATTCAAACTACGGCTTCTACTGAACATGTATTGCTTTCGTACCATGGCAAAGTCGGAAATACTAAGTCAAACTATCTCTAAGTTGGGACTGTCTATATTTTACTCAGGCAAAAACTTAAAAAAGAAACAGGAAAGGTTGCTTTTGTTTTAAATTATAAAAAAGAAAAACAATTCCATACTCAAAGTACTGGTACAAGCTGGAATTACCCACAGGTTCACAATAATGAATGATGATGGAACCACTGTCAGGAATAGATAGGATGAAATACTGCCCCCCCCCCGCCTCCCTCCCACTCCTAGATTAACCGTTTTGGTGCTCCCATCCAAGGCAGGACACTAGACTGAGAAGGCCACTGCTCTACAGCCCTCCTTATAAATTCTTGCCTCAGCCATGGTTTGGTACCACAGAGCCTTCCACAAAATAAGCATTCATCTAATGTTTACTGAGTCAATGACTGAAGTATAAAGAAGGTGACAGATAACATAGCTTTGGCAAGTATGAAATTATGGGCAAACAGTAATGACCGCACTAAAGATGGTAATAAGAATCACAACAGTGATCTGTGTTTTTTTTTTTTTTTAAAGATTTTATTTACTTATTTGACAGAGAGAGACACAGCGAGAGAGGGAACACAAGCAGGGGGAGTGGGGAGAGGGAGAAGCAGGCTTCCCGCGGAGCAGGGAGCCCGATGCGGCGGGGCTCGATCCCAGGACCCTGGGATCATGACCTGAGCCGAAGGCAGACACTTAACGACTGAGCCACCCAGGCGCCCCCAGTGATCTGTGTTTGAGAGTTTACTATATGTAGGTATTGCTGTAAATGCATGTATTACCTTATTTATCTTCGTCAACTCTATTTTTCAAATAATGAAACCACAGTGCAGAGCTTAATAACGTGCTCAAGAACAGAGAGCTACGTAGTGGCAGAGCTTGGATTTGAACCCAGTAGCCTGTGTTCTTAATCACTGTGAGATTCAGGCCAGCCCTGGAATTGTCTGTTTACCCTACAGATATGATACTTCTAAGGATCCCACTTTACATGTAATTTCCTCTTTTGAGAATTTAGGAAAATAAATTATATGTTTAAAAAAGTATTCATCTTTATTTCAGAACAGAAAAACTAAGAGTCTTATTTTATTTGCTCTTCAACAAAATGTATATATTTGCTTTAAAATTACCTCCAGTCTTCCTTGAGCATAACCTAGGAGCAGCAGATTGGCTCTGTCCTTCTCAGGAGAAATGGGGGCCCAAGGCCAAGCATCATCACTGACCAGTGGCCACCAGCAAGCAACTATATCCTGAACACAATTGATAGCTAGACGACACTCTGTTGTCCTGTTTACTGGGCCAGGTATCTCGTAATAGGAAATCTAATGATTAAGAGAAAAAAGCATATGAGAATCATTTTTTAATGCAAAATCCTCCCAGTATTACAAAAATTAAAGCATCTGTAAATGTAGATAAATGCAAGTAAATATGCATGTTAAACATGTGCTTAAGGAGGTGTCAGAATTTACCAAATTCTTTTGACACATATATAAAAAAGACATATGTTCAAAATTCTCCCCATTTTTAGCAGAGGAAAGGAAAAGGAGAAATGTGAGTTAGGGAGGAATTGGCTGTAGCAATCCCAATCAATACCAAAATGTACAGTCATGGCTGCCTGACAGCTTCGACCTACACATAGGATTTAAGACCAGCTATATTAAATGACAAGTTCAGTACTGCTGACCAAGAGTATCTGACTACTGTTTAAGACATAACACGTTAACAATGACTGACAACAATAAAAGGAAAAACAACTTGAGGCAAATATCACTTTAAAGAATATATGAGACATATATTCTGCATAAAGGGATAAGCCACAGCATCATGCGTAAAAGTTTATGCAGCTTCTGAGAATTATGCTTCTCTTTCTTAGGAAGGATTTGTAGAATTTATTATTCAAACTATGTTATTTTGGAACATGGTTATTTGAAAACATAAGCACAGCACCATCTGGGTGACACATGCCAAGGAAATATAGATTGCACCGTATTTCTGCTTAAGGAATTAATGGAAGGTTGATAGCTTGGAAGAAAAAAAAAACTATCTTGCCATTGCTGGTCAGCAATAATCGAACCACTTTCTGGGGATTAAGCGCATGGCTAAGCCTACTGGACCAGACACTAGCAAAGGGCAGGGGGTCTTCTTATCAGAGAAATGCTTCTGGAGCCAGTCTCACTACATGACAGATTGCTTTCATATTCCTGTCTGCAAGGCAACAAAGGATGGCAGTAATGCGATAATGCCAGAGTGCAATGGGTGTTAAGAACCCGTTGCATTTATGTATTGTATTTAGTAAATAATCAGGCTCATCCAAATTGTGATCTCACCACTCAACCAAGGCCATTAAAATCAAGGTTAATGCTTTAATAATCCTCTGCTATTTTTTTTAATATGGTCAAAAGGAACCCTTTTCTATTTGTATGGCCATAATATTATTGACCTCTTCATCCTCTGAATGCACATCAAAAGGAACTGAAATCAAAGTAATTACCAGTGTTGTTCTCCTATGGTAAACATTTAACTCCTTACACTGTCCCTTTCCTGTTAAATAAATTGAATTGGATTTTTAAAATGTAGACTGGAAAATTTGTTCAAGGTCAATAGTTTCAGGATATTTCCCTGCAATTTTCTCTGCCAAAATTATTTCAATCTGAAAGAATTAAATTATGGTACAGCTGTAAAGAAAAGCAGAGTTATAAATACTTTACACTATTTCTTTGTTTTAAAATCCAAATGGGCAATGACAGACAACACAGATGTACTTTAGGCTTCGAAGTGCAAATTCTTATATTTATGCTCTCAATATCATTATTTTAACTACTTATCTTCTTGAGATGAATACCATAATGGAATTGCTAAGTCCTCACAAATAAACATACATTATTTTGATGTCCTACTGCCATGTAAACATGTTACGAATTTCTAGATGAGAAAATAGTGTTAAGAGACTGACACTTTCAGTCCTCCTATGGTGCAAATCTGAAATTTCCTGTTTCCTGTGAGTTTTAATGGCATCAGTATTCTATCATGATGGTCAACAGGGCAAGTAAAGTGAACAAGTTTCTTAAATTATCCTTCCTACAGACATATGGCCATTTTTACTAAGTATTAAATAACTGTATTTTAAATACTGGACCAGAAAATGAAGTCCATGGGCTTTTCCAAAGGGAAGCAGGTTACTTCTCCAATGTATAGAAATGATGTGGAGTACCCACATTATCCTCAAATCCAAAGGCAGAAAGAAGAAACAAATAAGCAATTCCCTTACTTAAAGTGTAAGAGTCCATATAGTAAGTCTATTTTTCACAACTTTTCAATAAGAAAAGATAACATCCTGACAGTTTCTCTCTGATCTCATTAATGGGTAGCTACTATCCTTCAGCTGAGAAGACTACTAAAATATCCATCATAGCTAAGACGGAGAAACTCGTCATACAAAATTTTATATTAGTAGCACTGAAAACATTTTAAATATATTGAGTTAATGCATATTGGAGCATTTCATTAATTTATTTACTTTTTCTATATTGGTGCATTTTAAAGACCAGTATTTGTAAATAAGCAACATTTCAAATAAATCTACAGTTAGCCAATCTAGAAAATAACATCCCATTAAGGTGCTAATACCAGTTTTTTTACTAACCAAAATGTAATACATGAATACCACCGACTCCAATTAAAGAAAATCAGTATTATACAAAATATTACAGAAGCTCCACAAGGTTGGCAAAGAAAACCAAATTAGTTTATTACCACAATGAAAAACTCATTTAATGTATTTTATCCCATGTCAAAAATCTTTTTTATTAGATGTTTCTACCAAATAAAATTAAATCCTCCCTATATCATCACCACCTCAATCACAATAAGAAATAATCCCAAAGGGCAAAAGGTTAGCTTAACTACTACTTTTTTAAAAACACACATAAAGGGGCGCCTGGGTGGCTCAGTCGTTAAGCGTCTGCCTTCGGCTCGGGTCGTGATCCCAGGGTCCTGGGATCGAGTCCCGCATTGGGCTTCCTGCTCGGCGGGAAGCCTGCTTCTCCCTCTCCCACTCCCCCTGCTTGTGTTCCCTCTCTCGCTGTGTCTCTCTATGTCAAATAAATAAAATCTTTGAAAAAAAAAAAACACACATAAAGTTTCAAGCCACAAAGCTGACTTCTAAAAATCTTTGCCCGTATTACAGATAGATATTCTGGGTATGGCATAAGTGTGCATCTTTTTTAAGGAAGTTGTATATCAGCTCTGTTCCCAGTGAACAGTGAACTGTCTCAAATCCACGTCACAGAGGTTGGATCAATCTTGCAAACACAAGTCATTGCTGAAAAGAGGCCTTGAACTGAAACAGCCTGGAAAATGTATTAGATACTCATCCTAGCAGAGTATGCCTTCCAAGCAGTTAAAATGCAATGTGGCAAAACTTATATTAAACACATCATTTAAAAAAAAAATCCTGCCTTAACAGATGTAAAATCCCTGATACAAGGAAACAAATTACCTGGAGTTAGTGAAGGGAAAGATACTAACATATGAAGGAGATTTCATTTTGCATTTTTCCCCAGTTATAGTTGGGTGTACATGTGTGTATGTGGGGGGTGAGGGGTCTTCCCACTCCTTGTTTATTACACTTTTCTATTAACCTTTGAAAGTGACTTCTTTCTTCTTTCTTTTCTTGTGAAATGGAAGCCAGAGCAGCTATCCTTGCCTAGAAAGATGATATGGGGTTTTAGGGAAAAATGAGAATGGTGTATATCCTGCCCTTAGCAAGAAAATCATTTTCAAATGTGTATCTTGTCTCTATTGTCTATCTTTGATTTCCATAAGTACTAAATAAATTGCTCCAAACATGCCATTATTAGACTCCTGTAATGAGAGTAAAAAAGAAAAGGTAGGATAGCCACTATTTTCAGTGAATCAACCTTAATCATATAATTAACTCTGGTTTGTCTGAAATCTAGAAATGCTCAAGAATGAGCATAATATCCATGTGATACTCTAGCATACCTTAATAATTAATAATACAACTCTATAAATTGAAATCTCTACCTTATAATCCAAGGCTGAGAGTTTTTCCAGTCTTTTGTTTGTATCAGGAGAACCCATCTTCTTGGTAAACTGAATAAAACATAGTTTGTTTTGTGTCAAAAATGATAAGATGATAAAGTTGTCTGTGAGAAGAGCTAAAAAACAAAAACAAAAAAGATTTGATAATATTATAAAATACTAAATTAGAATAAAATGATAATGAATTGAGAATTTTTTCACTAAAATATTACAAAAAGCTATTCTCAGAAGATAAATACCAGTTGAAATAACTAGTCTCCTAAATATCATTATTTTGCAAGAATATTAAAGAAATTACAAATAAACATAATCATCAACCTAGTCATGCATGGATTTGATACTTTCCCTTTTTCCTAATACCATTTTACGATACACTGATGTTTGGGGACAACCACCAAATGAACCAAGGTTAGAAAAGCATAAAATAAAGACTATCTCATACCTGAATGTAAAGATGAAAACATTTACTTTTATTTGTACTTAGCCTTTTATCCTGTGTTTACATGATATAAACCATCTGAGAATAAATTGGTTTTTTAGGGGATACAGATCAGTGTTCTCCAGATTTATTTATTTATTTATTTGAGAGAGAGAGAGACAGAAAGTGAACACGCGCATGCACAAGCGCACAAGTGCACAAGCAGGGGAAGGGGCAGAGGGAGGAGGAGAGGGAGAAGCAGACTCCCCACTGAGCAGGGAGCCCAACACGGGGCTCTGTCCTAGGAGCCTGAGATCATGACCTGAGCAGAAGTCAGACGCTTAAACTGACAAGCCACCCACCCAGGTGCCCCTGTATTTTTTTTTTTTTAATTTTTCATCAATCAACCTTCTTTTTGAGGGTATACAAGCTTGCAAACACAAGTCATTGCTGAAAAGAGGCCTTGAACTGAAATGAAATAAAGCATATTATACTCAATATGCACATTACATTAATTAATATCTAACAATGAAGATGAGCAAAAATATTTCTACAGACTTATTTCTAACGCACACAAGTAGGCAGACAATTAATATTCATGAGTTACATAAAGGGTTATTAATGTTATAAAATTATTGATAAAAACTTAGTATATTAGGAATTTGAGAAATGTTTTATATTGTTCCTACCATAAAGAAATTATTGAATGTTTCATGTATTTTTCTTTACTTCCATACCCTGGCTGTGCAAGAAGCAACCAACAGTATATCTACACAATTACAGGAGAATCTGGAGAACTGCCAAGAAATCACACTGTTATCATGGTCTCATGAGAGTGTATTATTTTGGATATAAATAAAAGAAACAAGTAAAAAGATATCTCAGAGACAGGAATAGTGTTGGGAGTCTCCTTTTAATTCTTATACAGGAGCATCAACATGACAAAATCATCACAGCCACTATTTTATTTGCAGTGTCAACAAAGGGGTCAATTATTACACATATAAAAATGGAACTTCTTCCATAAGAAGCTTCCTTGACACCCTGTTCCTGTAAGGAAGAGGAAACGGCACACTTACAATCCTATCCCCAGCTTATTATTATCAAGAATGTTGCTAATTATAGCCATCCTGCAAAGTGCTTTTCTCTAAGATGATGAAATTGTGTCTAAGTTATTCAGAGGTAGCTAGTGATAGCACAAAGCAGAAGCAAGGTTTCTGTATTCTCACCTCTGTCCTTTCCACTAGATCACACTTTGTTTTGATTATTCAGTTAAGATACTGACAATTTGCAATCACTAATGATAATGCAACCTGTTTCTTAAACCTTTTTACCTTCAATAAAAGAACATAACCTTAAAACCTCAGGAGTCAGCACAGTGTAGCAGAGAGAAAATAGGCTCTGCAGCTAGAACCTGGGTTCCAATCTCAGTTTGGTTATTTTCAAGCTGTTCCTTAGTATCTCATTTATGGGCATGCTCCTTAGTGTCTTAGCTTCAATTTCCTTATCTATAAAATGGAAATAACTATACCATATAAAGTTTTATTTTAATTGAATGAAATAAGTAGGTTGACACAGAATTATAGAGACTTTTCGGACTCAATAAATGTCAGTATCCTACCTTTTCAATAATTGGCTTAAAATTTTTTTTGTGTGCTTTTTTAAAAGATTTATTTATTTATTTGAGCGAGAAAGAGTGAGGGAGCAAAAGTGTGTGCACGTCCATGTGTGTGTGGGAGTGTGAGGGTGGGGGAGGGGCAAAAGGAGAGGAAGTGAGAAACCCAAGCCAACTCTGACTCCAAGATGAGCAATGAGCGTGAAGCCCAACTCCGGGTTCGACCCCAGGCTCAATCTCTGACCCTGAGATCACAACCTAAGCCGAAACCAAGAGTTGGACACCCTACTGACTGTACCACCCAGGAGCCCCTTTATTATGTGCTTTGTAGCAATTATATACTGATTGTGGTATACTTAAAAGGATCCAGCTTTATCTAGTATATTTGGCATTGGTTTTTGATATTTAGAAATAATGCCCAAATTTTTTCAAAAGTTAGTATTCATAGATTTTGGTAACAAAGGATCTTCCTACTAGCCAAATCATAGATTTTTTTTTTTATTAGTGGATGTGTTAACACATTTGGGTTATCCAAAATTCATTTGAAAATGAAAAATATTTGAAATGTCAACAATAGGGGACTAATTTTGAAAGAACACACCAAAAAAAACACCTTCTTTTGAAAATACATTCACATTTTTTAAAGGAAAAAGTGAAAAATACTCAGAGTATGAGCCTAAGGCTTGACAAAATTTTTGTAGTAAATATTAGTCAAAACTTGTATTGGTCCCAGGGGTTGTAACTATGCTATTATAAGTGATTACTTGTGTTTGCAAGTCCCAGTGGTAATAATTAGTGTACCTGTTGACACAGTATTTCTCCTGCACCACTGTTAATGTAGGCACATGGGGGTAATTACCATCACTGATGGAGTCGGAGATGAGCTTCCCCACCAGGCTTCTGTCAATCACCACTTTTTCCAGCTGTGGCCCAGAGAGGCTTAGGGACACCAGCACACCTGAACCAAAGAGGAGCTAAAACCAGGTAAAGGGGTCAGGGGGAGAGATATACTGAGAATTAGAGTCTTTCAAAAATCTCTCTTTAAATGTATTTAAACTATAAAGATATTTACATGAGCATCTACACCATGAAATTATAAAGGTTTTTCTTCACTGAAAACAATCACTGCCATTCTGAGTAAATAGATACAGGTGACTAAATGATGCACCACAATAAAGGCACTGATTAAAGCTATGCAGAAACTGAATTTAGACCATGTTTATTAGACGCCTAATCATCGAAACACTTAGAAAACACCAATGTAGAAATAACTGCTTTGTATTGATTTCAAAAATGTACTGTGTTCTATTAAAATATTTTGAAAGATTACTATTTCTATCAGAAATTAAAAGAAGATTTCTGAAGGTCTGAATAGTCGTTGCTATACATTAAATATAGAAAAGATGCAACCATTACAATATAAACAAAACAATATAAAAAGTGAATGTTACAATTTATTCGGAATTTAAACCCCACTTCTACAAATAAAGATCTTGTCAGTTTAAAATATTAAATACATGTAAATCAAGGCAATTGAAGTAAAATGTTAAACTTTAATATTCAAAAATAAATAGTACATGTCACAAACAATTTCTCAAAAAGAGATAAACACAGTAAAGTACCGGGCTTTATCAATATCAGTGTTCACCCAACCACCAACAAAAGATGACTGGATATCACCATTATGATTTTATACTGCTCCTTTCCATTTGTGGCAGCATAATTCATTCATCTCCAAATGTTTAAAACTTCTGAAAGGACTATGCATATGCGTATGCTTGTTATCTATGATTATGAAATATCAACATTGGAAGAAATTGTTTCACCTTCAAGGCAACAGACTCAAAGCTGATGAATCATGGAAGAGCATATGGTATAAGAAGAAAAAAACCAATTGTCAGTAAACTAATCATGAACATGCTAGCCAAACTCAAAGACAACTATGATTTTAAACAAAACGGGAATTCCCCACCTACCTAGGAGTCGTGTCCCAGCTAGAAAGGATGATTCTGTGTCAACACATATTTAGACATGTGTGAAGGATGAGCAGCATGAGGGACCAGGCTAATATAAAGAAAGACTACTACTTCCCCACTGCCTAACAGATTCCAAGCACATGAATAGGAAAAGAAACTGAAGGGTCTCACATGACTTAATAGACTGTCCATTTAATGTCAATGCCCCTCTAAGGGGCAGAGGGCAGGGAAGAGGTTACCATCTTTATTCGTTTGAGAGACTAATAAGAGAAGAACATTTGTTCCAAGAATTTCAAAATATTCACAAACTAATTTCTACTGAATTACATCCAGCCCTGCAATACACCTTGATGGCAAACACTGATATTTCTCTTTGGGGAATTCCCCCATAACAACATAACACATGGTCTTTACTTCTAAGTTCTCCCTTTTCAGGCAGGCAATTTTAGGGTCATCTTTCATACCTAGTTCTCCCCTATGTCACAGCTTTTTTCTCCCTTCCCCATTTTTTCAAAACACCTATAAAAGCTGTCCTTTTCGGGGCACCTGGGTGGCTCTAATGGTTAAGTGTCTGCCTTCGGCTCGGGTCATGATCCCAGGGTCCTGGGATCGAGCCCCACATCGGGCTCCCTGCTCGGCGGGAAGCCTGCTTCTCCCTCTCCCTCTCCTCCTGCTTGTGTTCCCTCTCTCACTGTGTATCTCTCTGTCAAATCAGTAAATAAAATCTTAAAAAAAAAAAAAAAGCTGTCCTTTTCTATTTATTTTTATCCACTAAGACTTTACACCTATATTCCTGAGCATCTCTTTTCTTAGTTATCCACTGACTACTAGCTCTTTATGGATACTGGCTAGGCCACTTTTATCTTTGTATCTTCAATGCCTAAAATAATGCCAGGCACACAGTAGATGCTAACTAAATGTTTGAAGAAAAAAATCATAATTAACTCATTATAGGATTAGATTATTCATAGTTAGAAAGAAACTTAGTCTAATCTTCCACAATGACATGAAAGTTCCTTCTGCAGCACCCCTTCAAGCATCCTTCAAGCATTCAGCCCATGCTTGAATACCTCTAGTGATCAGGAGCTCATTACCTTACCACTGGACAGTTCTAATTGATTTAGAAATCATTTATTCATGTTTTTCATTCAACAAAAACTGAATGTTGATTATATGCCAAGCACTAAACTTAGTAGCTCAAAAGAGAATAAAATATAATCCTCAAAATAGTTGAAAGATAGGTTAATAGAGAGAGGGATACAAGCAAATAAGTGTAATAAAGTGCTATTACTGGTCCTATTATTGGAGTACATACTGGAGAGACTGGGAAGACTGAGTAGGAGATGGCGGTGCTTGAGCTTGAGGTAAAGGTTAATACTGCCTTCTAAGAACTTCTATAATAATCTAAATTTTTCTTCAATAGCACACTTTAAAATATTAAAAGAGGGTGCCTGGGTGGCTCAGTTGGTTAAGCGACTGCCTTCGGCTCAGGTCATGATCCTGGAGTCCCGGGATTGAGTCCCGCATCAGGCTCCCTGCTCAGCGGGGAGTCTGCTTCTCCCTCTGACCCTCCCCCCTCTCATGTGCTCTCTCTCTCTCTCATTCAGTCTCTCAAATAAATAAATAAAATCTTAAAAAAAATAAATAAAATAAAATATTAAAAGATAGTAACATAGTGTTAAGCATGGACTCTGAATCAGCATGAAATCAGCATTGGCTCTACCTCTTACTAGCTGTGTGACCTTGTGGGAGTTACTTAACCTCTCTATAACTTCATTTCCTCAACCAAAAAGATAGGGTAATATCTACCTCATAGGATGAGCATTAAATAACTTTTTACAAACAGTATTTAGAATAATGCCTGCCACGTAGTAAATGTTTGCAATTACTATTATTCAACCATTATTCATATGATGTATGTTCACTATACTATTTGCCATCTCTGAACACATTTTTTTTTTTTTTGTCTTTCTAAAAATCTTGTGCCCAGATTGGACTCAATACTAGACAGAGTGCACTAGACTCCAGGTGAGTTATCACCAGTACAATCTTTTGTCACCTTTCCCATTTGCTACAATTTCATAAGTATATTGTCTCCAAGATATCTGCAAGTTCCTCCAGAACTTTGGAATTTAATTTGTCCAAGTTTCAAATTTCTTTCCTTACTTTCTGCTCTCAGCACCACTATCATGAACTAACTCTCATGTGCTAAGAGCAATTGCTGTTTCTATGTATGAGCATTTGTTATCTTAGAAAACGAATTCTAAAAGACCACTTTTGTGAGATGGAGATGTAAAGTGCAACCTGTGAGAGTAGGTAAAAGAGGGACGTAAGCTGGAAAGGATTTGAAGGGGAAGTGTTAAGGTACAGTAAGAAAGCATGCATGTTGCAGTAGATAATATGGAGATTGGAGCAGCGATTTGGGAACTGTGAATCCTGCCCAGTGAGTTTCAGCATTCCTTCAGAATCTTTCTTTGAAGGATAGGTGAAGCCACTTATTTATATATTCATTCATTCATTCCACAAATCTATATTTAGTATTTTATATGAGCCAGGCCCTGTTCTAGGTACTGAAAATACAGCAGTGAACACAACCAACAAAGTCCCTGCCTCCCTCACCTCAGGGAGCTTGCCTTCTAGTGTGGACACACGCAATAAGCAAATAGTTTTGATATAATGTCAGAGAGCAACAAGAACTACAGAGAAAATAAAGCACAGTAAAGATGGGGATTTTAGGAGAATGCTCTTTTAAGCAGAATAACTAATAAAGAAATAAAAAGATCTCTCTAAGGAGATGACATTTGAGTCACTTGACCTAAATGAAGTTATTGAACAAGCCACAGGATTATTTGGAGAAAGGGAACTTGAGGTGGAGAACAGCAAATGCAAAAACTCTAAGGTCAGAATATGCCTGGGATGACTGAAGAAAGCTAGGGCAGAGTAGCTAGAGGGAAATGAGTGACAGTGATATTCACAGAGGATGAAATCAGAGAGGTAGCTGGGCCAGGTTAGGTTGATGAGAAATCATTGGGTTTTAAGCAGCAGAGAATTACAATCTAATTTATGTTTTAAAGAGGGGTCTGGGCAAGAGTAGAACCAAGGAGACCATTCGGAGGCTATTGCAGTGGTCCAGGTGAGAGAAGATGATGGCTTCGATAGAATGGCAATGCTAGAAGAAATGATATGTGGACAGATTTGAGATATATTTTAAAAGGAATCAACCAAGACCTGCTGAAGGACTGGATGTGGCATACAAGAGAAAAACTCAAAAATTTTTGGGCTGAGCAACTGGATTTAATGAGATAGGGAACACTCAAGGAGACACATATTTAGGGGGAATCAAAAGTTTGGTTTTGGACATGTTAGTTTATGGTGTCTATGGACATACAAGTAGAGATATTGAGTAGACAATTAGAAATGAGTCTGAAGTTCAGGGTGAAGTAAGGGCTAGCAATATATATTTGGGAGTCATCAAGAATATAAAGATAGTGTTTAAAGTCATGGAACTGGATAAGCTGTCCTGAAAAAATGAGTAGAGAGGTCATATGGTTGGGGCCCTAATCCGGTGTCCTCATAAGAAGAGGAAGAGACAACAGAGAGCTCTCTCTCCATGGGCACGCACAGGAAAGGCCATATGTTAACACAGTAAGAAGACTGATGTCTGTAAGTCAGGAAGAGAGGACTTACCAGAAAGCAACCCTGACAGTACATTGGTCTCAGAATTCTAGTCTCTAGAACTGTGAGGAAAAAAAAACAAAAACAAAAAACATTTCACTCAATCAATCAACAAAATTGAAAGAGAAAGAGGACCATGGTCTGAGGTTTGGAGCATTCCAACCTTTAGAGGTATTAAAAGATCAGGTTAGCCCTCTTATTGAAACCTAGCTTGGGTACTCATCAGGATCAAGGTATGTCCATCATTATAGATCTCTAAATGTCTTGTGGCCTAGAGGTATCTCTGACACCAGATTTTGAAATAATAAGATACAAATAAATTA